TTATGTTTATGTTTGGTTTGTTGTTAAATATATTTATGAATGAGATAATGTTTTTTAAAATAATTTTCATAGAATGATGTTTATTGATTTGTAATATTTAAGGTTTTTTTGTGGAATTGTTTATTTTGTTGTATTTGTTTTTTTTATATGCTTTGTAAACTTTGTGTTTGTGTTTGATGAATTTATGGTATGTAGTGTTGTTCATTTTTTATTTTTGAATTTTGTTATGTTGTTATTATTATGTTGTTGATATGCTTTGATGGTGTTTATTTTAGTTTTTTGTAGTGTTATTTTATTTGTACTGTATGTACACTTCGCCCTCTAACATACGTTTCAGATTCATGAGAACGGTTTTGGTCTACTTTGCACTTGGACAAACCCAACGAACGATTACACCCCACTATGTGACTCACTGTGGTAAAACAAGATTTTGGGTGTGCTACAGAAGGAGTTTTTTTTGTGTTGGCTTGAAACCATCTCGAGGTTAAACACCGGACCCGTTGTTTATTTTTTAATTTGATTTTCATTATTTTTTTTTTTTTTTTTATTTTTAAATGTTTTTTGAATTATCTCCCGAGATGAGAATGGAAGTTGTACCGAACAGAATTATTTTCCTTACTCGCTCCAAAATACTGTATTCAGATGGGTTTATTATTAGTGTATTTATAGGACTTAACACTAAACACCAGCAAATGTCAAATCCTAACCCTGCGTGATGAAGAGTTTACTGTGCATACATTTAATGGGTCCCTAACACTGCAGTATGTCACCGAGGCACGCGATCTAGGTGTCATCGTGACGAGTGACTAAGCCCTCGGCGCAGTGCAGGCATGCGGCCACTTAAGCGTGACAGGAGCTATTTCGTCTCAGGAGAGTACTGAGTTGCACCAAGGCAGAGGTCTTTCTTCCCTTGTTCAAAGCTGTGGTCAGACCACATTTGGAATACTGTGTAAAGGTCTGGGCACTCTACCTGCAGTAATATATTTGTATTGGGAATGTGCAAAGACTGGCCACTCGAATGATAGAAGGCCAGCGCGGCTTATCTTATGAAGATCGATTAGCGAACTTACGGTTGTTTTCAATCAGAAGACGCAGATTGAGAGGTGACTTACCAGAGATGTTCAAAATTATGAAGGGTGTCAGTGGTCTCAGACCCACCGATCTATTTGAACCAGCTACATGAGACAGTTTGCAGGGCCATTGCATGAAATTGAAGCAGTATAGATCTAGGCTAGAGTTAAGGTAGGTTCTCTTCCTTTCTTTTTCCCTTCCTTCTCCCTCTTTTCCCGTCCCTCCTCCTTTTTCCCCTCCGCTTTTCTTGTCTCCTTCGCAAACGGGTTTTGTGCCTCTTTTGGGAGGTAAAGTAAGGTAAAAAGTGGAGTGTGGTTATGGTTAGTTTAAAAAATGTTTGTAATAAGTTATTGTTTAATTGTAGAGGTTTAGTAAAGTTGGTTATTAGTGTAGGTATTGGTTAAGAGAGTGGTAGTAGGTAAGTGGGTAATATGTATGTTGTGGTGTAGTTTTAAAATTTAATAAGTAGTTTGTAGTAAGTAAATGTTTTATAGTTTGTTGTAAGTTTGTGAGTAGTGGTAATGTTGTTGTATTGGAATTTTTTCAATAGGCTATAGTTTGAATGTGTGTTGTTGTGTTTATAAGGTTTGTGTAATGTATTTAATATTTTTGGTTATATTTTAATGTGTTTATGTTATTTTATGTTTTTATGTGGTTGTAGTTAGTGGTTTAGTTTAAAAGTTTTTAAGTTGTAAAGAATTAAATTAGGTATATTATTGTAATTAAGTTTTGTATTTATTAAAAAATATGTTTAGGTTGTTTATTTAATAGTAAGTTAATTAATAAGTTTAAGTGTAAAAAGGTAGGTTTATGTTTATTAGTAGAGGTTAGAGTATTAAGGTGTTTCATAAATTGTCATTTTTATTTTTGTTTAGGGGGGGTATAGTATGGTTTAAGGTTGGTAGGGAGTAGTAGGAGGTGAGGGGGGGGAATGGGTATGGGGGGGTGGTGTAATGTTGTGGGTTTTATGAGTTGTAATTATTTTTATAATTAAGTGGTGGTTTATTAAAGTATTAATGTATAGTAGGGTTTTAGGTAGTTTGTGTTGTTGTAGTTGTAATTATTTGTGTTTTAAGTATGGTAGTTTATTTTGTTAAGTAATTTATTTGTAATTTTATTTTAAAAAAGTTGTTAGTTTAAGTAAAGTATTAGGGTTAAATTTTTTTTATTAGTTTAAGTTTGTGGGGTGTAATTCGTAGGTTGTGTGGTGGTGGTAAGGGTAGGATTTGTTGGGTAGAGGGTATGTAAGTTAGTTTAATAAGGTATGGTGTAATGTTTTTTGTAATAAAAAATTAGTAAATATGTTAGTAAAAGTTTTATTAAATGTTAGTATATAAGTTATGGTGGTGTATTAAATAAGTAATAGGTTTAGTAAGTGGGTTTTATTTATATATTTAATAATATAGGTTAGTGTGTTATAAATTTAGGGTGTTGTATTGTAATTAATGTATATATAAAAATTGTTATGTGTTGTAAGTTATAGTAAAATTAATAATATTATTTATAATTTATATATAAAAATTATGTAATTTTATAATGGTAGGAGTGGGTTAATAAATGGTTTATAATGTAAAATTTAATTGTTTGTTGTAGTTATTATAGTAGGTATGGTTTAATATTGTTAGTATTATGTATTTTAATAAATAATAGTATAAATTTTGGTTTTAAGTTTTTATTGTAATGTAAAGTTTGTGTGTTTTTAGTTATGTTTTAGTTGTTATTATTAAGTATAGTTAGTTTGTAGTTATATTGTAAATATTTTGTTTATTTGTAATAAATATAGTGTGTATGTTATAAATGGTTATAAGTAATGTAAGTAATTAAGGTTTAATTGGTTTATTTTGTTGAGTTTAATAGTTGTGGTAAGTTTATATATTGTATATTTAATAAGTGTTTTTTTTTAAATAGTGTTAAAAAGGTTGTAAATTAGTTTTTTATTAAATTAAAATTTAGGTGGTTATGTTTATTTTGTGTATTATTAATAAATTTGGTATTAAGTAAAGTAGGTAGGTTATAATAATTATTTTTATGGGGTAGTTTGTTGTTTTAGTATATTATTTTTTGTTGTATTTTTGGGTTGTATTTATTTGTTGTAAGGTATTTTTTATTATAAATAATTAATATTGTAAATGTATAGTAAATATAAATTTTAATATGTTTATTAATTAAAAAAAGTTGGTTATAAATTAAATAGTTATTATATATAATTTATGGTTTAAGTTGTATTATAAAATGTTAAAAAGGTTTTGTTTGTAATTTTTATAATGATGGTAAAAATATATATTTATTTAGTATATAATATTTAAGTGTGTGGTGGTAGTTTTTTTTGTATTGGTTGTTGGTAGTGTTTTGTTATATTTGTAAGTTTTTTGTAGTCGGTATTGTTTAGTTTAGTGGGTTGTAATTTTTTTTATGTTGTTTTTTGTGTTTGTTTTGGTGCTATTAAAGGTTTAGGTGGTAAGTAAGTTTTGAGTGGTTGTTTTTTTTATATTTCTTGTTGTATTAGTTTAAGGGTAAGTTTTTTTTTGTAGTGTAAGTTTTTTTTTGGGTGGTGGTAGTTTGTTGGTAATTTTTGTTTTTTTAATGTAAGATTTTTTGAGTTTATTAGTGTGGTATTGTTTCTTTTGGGTAGGTGGGTTTGTGTGGTTAAGGGTATGGAGTAAGTTTTTTTTAATAAGTTAGTTATTTACGTATTAAGTTGTATTGAGGGTTTGTGGTGTTATTATTTTTTTAGTGTAGGGTTGTTTTTTGTTAAGGTGGGGGGTTGTGAAGTTGTGGTATAAGATGTTTGGGTTATTAATTACTATGAGTGTTTTAAGTTTGTTTTGATAAGTTTTTTTTGTTTTTTTAAGTTTTGTTTTAAGTAGTTTATTTTGAGTTATTAAGAACAAATTTTCCTTTTCGCTTTCTGCCTCGTTTTCTAAGTTATTTGGTTTGTAGTTATTTTATAGTTTTTTTGTAGTTGTGTTTTTAAGTAGTTTTATTTTTTTGTTTTTTTTTTTTTTTTTTTTTTTTTTTTTTTTTTTTGTTTTATTTTTTTTTTTTTTTTTTTTTTTTTAATTTTTTTTTTTTTTTTTTTTTTTATATTTTTTTTATTTATTTTTTTTTTTTTTTTTTTTTTATTTTTATTTTTTCTGTATTTTTTTTTTTTTTTTTTTTTTTTTTTTTTTTTTTTTTTTTTTTTTTTTTTTTTTTTTTTATTTTTTTTTTTTTTTTTTATTTTTTTAAAATTTTTTTTTTTTTTTTTTTTTTTTTTATTTGTTTTTTTTTTTTTTTTTTTTTTTTTTTTTTTTTTTTTTTTTTTTTTTTTTTTTTTTAGGTTTGGTTCCTTTGTCCCGCGATTGGCCCGCGCGGTTTCCTGGTTCGGGTTTCTGGTTTTTTCTAGATTTTTTGAGCGAGCTTTGGTTGACTGCTCCTAATCTTTCATGTTAAGTTGCGTTGAGTTGTTTTGGTTGATCGTTTCTCATGCACTTACTTCTTTTTTCACATTATAGGTTCAAGAATTACTATCAAGTCGCGGTGTTGTGGGGGTTCCTCTCGTCTGGTTGGCGTGTTTCTGGCTTAGATGCGTCGGTCGCTCGTTTGGCGGGTACTTTTGGCTTTTCCTTCGTGGTAGCTGTCCCTGGTGGTTTGGGTTGAGGTGGGGTGCGGGGTGGGGGGGTTGGGGGTTTTGGGGGGCCCCCTTTCCCTCTCTGCCTGTGGTGGGTGTTTGGGTGTTTTTTGTGTTAGTCTGGTTTTTTTGGGTGTGTTTTTTGTTGGGTTGGTTTACGTCTGGGGGTTTGGGGGGTTTCCCTTTTTGTTTCTTGGGTTGTTCTCTTTCTTTCGTGGGATTTGGGGTTCCGGTGTGGGGGGGGTCTTGGTGGGTTGGGGGGGGGGGGGGGTGGGTTTTGGGGTTTTTTTTTTTAGGGTCCGTGGGTGACCCCCCCCCCATGTCTTGTCGTTGGGTTTTTGGGTTGTCTCTGGTGGGTTTGGGGGGGGGGGTGGGGGGGGGGGGGGGGGGTTTTTTTGGTTTCTTTCCCCCCCCCTGGGGTTGTGTGTTTCCGGTTTTTCTTGGTGTGGTTCTTTTGGGGGGGGGGGTGGGTTGGGTTGTTCGGTTGGGTTGGGTGGGGTTTCTTTCCTCTGGTTCTTTTTGGGGGGGTTTTGGGGGGGTTGGTGTGGTGCGGGGGGGGTGGGGGGGTGGGGTTGGTGCCTGGGGTGGGGGGGGTGGTTGTTTGGGTTCCGCTTCTTTGTTTGGCCGTCTGTCCTGTCCTGTCCTGTTCTAAGGGTCTATTACGGCCCCTCATACATTTTGGCCACGGAAAAGCTTGGAACGTCGGACCGGAGGAATATAAATCCATTAGTTACGTACTTCCGTGCCATACTGATCGAGCTTTTTAGCTGAAATATTAGGGAAAACAGTGTACTACGAGTCTAGTGTGGAGAGATACACACTAGATCCTGCTGTCGTACCTACTTTTGTCCTCTCTTCCTCCTAATATTTCAGCTACAAAGCTGTTGTCGTTGATCAGTCATTGGCAGGCGAGCGACAGTGACAGATACTAATTTACAACATCACAAAACCGTTACTCTAGCAACTGTCGAGTACACTCGTATACCCCTGTCCAATCAATCTACTCATTCCCCCCCCTTAAATCATCTTCGTCGTATGTGCTCTACCACTCCGCCCACTTCCGCCTCGACGCCTGTCCCTCTCACAGTACGCCTCTCCACATATCTAGCCGACATAACCGTTAACGCTAAACTCGTCCATGACGATGTGTTTACTAGTTGATTCCTCTCATCACGCTGGTCCGACAGCCGTCCAATGTCTCGTGCCTTACTCGCTGTGTACTTATATGATCTGCTATGCCGGCGCGGCACACTTGCGTCCTCCTAGATAGTAACTTCCACGATATGTTAGCATACAGACGAGAGACACCCGAGTAAGTCCACAGGCAATGCACGCCTAGCCGAGAATGTCCAAGCTAGGTTAACTCACACGGTTGTCCGCCCTCCTCCACACCCAATCTATCCCCGCTATCGTAGCCTCCGCCTCCCCTCTACCCCCCCCCAATAGTTACCCGTATCGCGCCCAAACTATGCACCAGAAAACCAGAAAACAAGAAACCCCCATGCACGGCGACTTGATGTTGTTCTTGATCCTATACTGGTGAAAAGAGAAGTAAGTGAGACGATCAACTAAACGTTAAGTCCTAGGCATGTACAAAGAAATAATCAAACACAGATGAGAATCAAGCAAAACTGCAGTCAAGCCAGAAAGAAAATAAGACTCAACCTCACGATCATAATCCCATCGTCCTCGGATAAAGATGCTGTGGGAACGGCAAGCATGTCTTAGGCTACCTTTAAATTTCTTACACAGTTTTGAAGAACCACGTGTCCTCTTAACATCAATAGGCTAATTACCGAGCAGAAAAGATAGACAAATCTCGAACTCTCAAAATGAGCGTCCCTGACACACCACGTCCTGCACACTAGATACAATACTTGCGAACATCTACGCCCCAGAATCTTACTTATTCTACAGTCTTCCCCATCCCACTCCAAACCCCTGTGTCAAAACTCTAGCCTAGATCTATAATCCCATGTCTTACGCACTTATCTATCCCCTGCACACTAATCAGAGCGTTGTATCAGCGACTGATCAAGACTCTCGCCCCGCCGTACGACGCGTATTACTATAGATACGGTGCATAACTCTCTCTCAAATAGATCGGTCGGGTCTTCCAGCTTGACACTGACACCCTTCATAATTTTGACCTCTCATTATCAACAAAACCATTCTGTATTCCTTACAGGAATCCAATCCATCCTCCGAAATAACCTTCAAATCTGCGTCTTCTGCGTGAAAAATACCCGTCGACACTCAACCATCCTTGTACTCATTATTTCGATCTTCCTTCCCCCTCATACCACCCTACACCCCCCCCATAGTTGCTCTCCCCACAATGATCCGCGCTCCCTGACTACCAGAGAGCGCTACCTTTTACATCATTTCAAAGTGAGAGAGCGCACCACACTAAGCGTGCACGTGTCTCTGATTGTGTCACCTCTCAGATATATACACGAACCTCGTTGTATAATACATTGTGACGTGCCAACTGGCAGCTCCAGTGCAGCACGTGCTTTACAGACACCTCGCTGTCACACTCTGTAATCTACATACATATTCCGCCCGCATGCAGGTGGACCACAGCTTTCAACAAGGTGGAAGATAAGACCTCTGCCTCCGCGGTGCAATAACCTGTATCACACGCTCCTAGTATACTTCCTCCCCCAACCAAACCCACCCCCCCCCAAAACCAATCTCCTGAGACACGTAATAGCTCTGTCACGCTTAAGTGGCCGCATGCCTGCCACTGCGCCGGAGGGCTTAGTCACCAACACTCCAAATATTCTCCAACTAACTCAACCTACCCCCCCCAGATCCCCACCACCCCCAGAACACCCACCTCGTGACCTCACCCACTGCAGATCGCCCGGCGCCCTCGGGTGACATTATTGCAGTGTTAGGGACATTAAATGTATGACAGTAAATCTTCATCACGCAGCGCCCCCCCGCTCTTGGACACCCCCACATGAAACCATAGGACTCTCCCTGTCTCACGCACACTGGTCGTTTGCCCCCCCTGCTCACCCCCGTTAAGTACTCATAAATACTGAATACTGAATACTGTATTTTGGAGCAAGTAGAAAATAATTCTGTACAACTCCATCGGGTGATAATCAAAAAACATTTAAAAAAAAATAAATAAACACGTCCGGTGGTTATCCTGAGATGGTTCAGCAACTCCTTCTGTAGCACACAAAATGCTTGTTTACACAGTGAGTCACAAGTGGGTGATATCGTTGTCAAGTGGCAACCGTTCTCTGAAACGTATGTTAGCGAAGTGTACATCCAACTAAGATTTGACTAATTTAGAACGGTAGCATATATTACTTAGATAGCAAAGCACTGTCTCTCCCTCGCCCCGCCCCTCGAAACCACAGCCACCCGCACTTCCCCACACCCGTCGTCAGCCTCTCACACTATTGCGCTATTACCGCGCTCTGACAAGGCTGACAGAGAACAAGTCATTTATAAAGATAGCAACGGACCGAGTACTGATCCCTGGGGAACTCCACTATGAGCAGTGCCTGTGCTCGCAGTAACCTCACCAACCCTGACACGGAATGTCCTACCATGGAGGAATGCAGACAGCCAAGGAAGCAGCTGAGGGATTCTAAACAAGGTCACTTTTTTAAAACAGGAAACGGTGATTCAGCGAATCAAAAGCTTTACTGAAGTCAAGATAGCACACTTCTACTGGTATACCTTCATCAAGACATCTAGTTATTTCATGGAGGAAACAGCAGGTTGGTAAAGCATGACTATTTCTCGACGAAGCCATCCTGTTTTGCTCCGTTTAAGTGGTTAGCAGCAAGATTTGCACAGATTTAATTTCTAAGGATCTCTTGAGAAAAACGCTAGTCATACTAATAGGCCGGTAGTTATTGGGTGAAGATTTAGTACCACCCTTAAGGATCGCCACTACAACTGCTTCCTTTCAATCCTGTGGTATCCTCCCCTCACATGTTGAACAACTCAAGAATAGGAAGATGGAGTGTGTCGGCAATCGGCTTGACAATCGAAGGATGTACATTATCGGGGCCAGGTGATTTGTATAGGTTTAAGTCCTTCAGTACAGAGAAGACATCTGAAGCAGTTATGAGGACTTGGTCCATTTTGCACTTGCTTACGCGATGCGACGACAACGGTATTGAATACCCATTGTCCGATCGATGCAGGAGAACCCTAATCGTCCTCCTATCTACGTCTGGGCGCCCTGGCAGTATCTCAGCCCACATACAACCATGACATCTTCTTCAAACATAAACTTCATCCTGCATCGGCCGTCGCGCAGATTATCAAGAGTCGCCATACCTGCTCCATACAGCAAGGCGGATAAGCGAAAACATGCTACTGATGGCGCCTCCCTTCTTTCTTTTACACATGTTTCTCTTACTCCCATCCCGACCCCCATTACTAACCCTTCTATAATTCCCAGCTTAATTGACAGCAACCGAGGTCCCACTGTCAAAGTTCGCTTCGGGCGCAGAACCCGAGGGGGTACCCCGTTT